GCAGGCTACAGCAGCATAGGCTTTACGCCAAGCTGGAGAAGTGCCAATTCGACGTGACGGAGGTGGATTTCCTGGGCTACAAGTTGTCTGACAAGGGGCTCGCCATGGACAGCGCCAAGGTTCGAGCAGTGTTGGATTGGAAAAGCCCACGCAACCGGAAGGAGGTCCAACGGTTTGTCGGCTTCGCGAACTTCTATCGCAAGTTTATCAAAGGCTTTGCTATGCAGACAGCGGCCATCACGGACACGCTCAGCTTCATGTCAACCCCAGCAGGCCGATGAGGGTGGAGACAGACGCTTCGGACAGAGCCGTGGGAGCAGTCCTGCTGCAGAAAGACCCGCAGGGGGTTTGGAGGCCGGGAGCGTTTTACTCAAGGAAGCTCAGCAAGTCCGAACAGAACTACACCATCTGGGACAGGGAGTTGCTGGCCATTCATGCAGCATTCAAAGCGTGGAGGCACTTCCTGATCGGCGCCAAGCACACGGTGCAGGTCTGCACGGACCACAAGAATCTGGAGCACTGGCGCACGGCGCAGTTCCTGAACCAGAGGCAGATACGTTGGGCCGAATTCTTTGCGAACTTCGACTTCCGAATAGAGTATGTCCCGGGGGACACCAACGTCATGGCCGATGCCCTATCCCGTAAACCACAGTATCTGGAGGAGGCGACGCCAGCGGCAGCCATGCACATTTTCGCACCGACGGTGTGGGCGTGCGCATCAGCGACTGTGGACCTGGATGCGGTGAGGAGAGCGCTGCAGGCTGACACCTTCGCGCGAGCCAAGATGGCAGAGGCGCAAGGAGGCGCGGCGGCGACTGGCGAGTTCCAAGTTCGCGATGGATTACTCCTTCGTAAAGGGGCCATCTACGTGCCGGGGGACGATCTTCGCGCCAAAGTACTGCAGCAGCTGCACGACGCACCCACTGCCGGGCACTTTGGCACAGAGAAGACACTGGAATTAGTCGCCAGGGACTTCTGGTGGCCCAGAATGAGAGGGGAGGTCGCGGACTACGTGGCGAGGTGCGACACCTGCCAGAGGGCCAAACCAGTACACAGGCCGCCGGCGGGGCTGCTGGAACCGCTGCAAACACCGGGCGAACCCTGGGAGAGAGTGGCCCTGGACTTTGTCACGGATCTGCCCAGCTCAAGGGGCAAGACGGCAGTGCTAGTGGTGGTGGACTTGTTCTCCAAGATGGCACATTTCATTCCGTGTGCGAAAGTGGCCACGGCGGAACAAACAGCCAAACTGTTCATAGACCACGTGTTCAAGGTTCACGGGCTGCCGCGGTCTATACTGTCTGACCGGGGGCGGCAGTTCATCTCGAACTTCTGGCAGAAGCTGATGGGCTTCCTGAACGTCAAAATCAACCTGGCTTCGGCTAGACACCCGCAGACCAACGGGCAAGCGGAGAGGGTCAATGCCATCATGCAGCAGTACCTGCGATGCTATGCGAATCAACAGCCCGCGACGTGGGTGGACTACCTGCCTCTCGCCGAGTTCGCCTACAACAACACGAAGCACGTGTCCACAGGGGTCACGCCGTTCTTCGCCAACAACGGGAGGCACCCCAGAACCTTCCCGGGACTGGAAAGAATGGGGGAGGGGGAGCCGCAGACGGCAGATGCGTTCGCATTGGAGTTGCAGGAAGTCCACGAGCAGCTTCGGCGGCACCTGGAGCTGGCTAAACACGCATACAAGGTGCAAGCGGACAAACACAGGAGGGTTGGCGAAGAGATCCATGTGGGAGACTGGGTCTGGTTAGCAGCCCACGCAGTGCCGGCCAGGTCGTTGGCGAAGAAGAAACTAGGGCATAAACAACTGGGGCCCTACCGAGTCGAAGAGCAGGTCAACCCGGTGGCTTTCCGGCTGGAGCTTCCGGAGGGCTCCAGGATGCATCCGGTGTTCCACAGATCGGTGCTCACTCCCTACAAGGCACCTCACAGGTTTCAGGAACCGGGAACGGCACCGAGTCCGCTCCGAGAGAGAACTGAGCAAGGGGGAGTGGCACAGGTGGAGCACATCAACGAAGTCACAGAGATTTTGGACTCCAGATGGGGGGAAGAGGGGGTAGAATACTTTCTCGCCAGAGAGGGCACCCCGGCCAGTGCCAACAGCTGGGTGCCGGGCTACGCTTTAGACGAACCTCTGCTCAAAGAAGAGTTTCATGCCCTCTTCCCACATAGGCCCATGCCAGCAGACTTTTTCGACGACTGGCTTTTCACGCCCACGCTTTCAGCCAGCACGTTCCAGGGGTTCGACTCCGACGAGGAACCAACACGAAACGCCCGTTCCCCGGAGGGGTCACCCTCGGGATCTGCTTCAGAACCATCGTATTGGTGGGACGATAGACCAGAGGAGCAGTGGCGCAGAAAGTGGCTGGAGGGTCCAGGACGAGCAACGTCCCCAGAAGGAGACGAGGGAGAGACGGACATGGACATCTTCGGGGACGACCCGGGGTTCGAGCACGGCGGCACAGAGATGGAAGCGGAGGTGACCGTCGTCGACGAGAGCAGGGAGGAAGAACCGGAAGACTTCAGAGGGAGGCCCGCCACGGGAAGCGAACTGTATCCGACATTCGTCCCCCTGACACGGCAGCACCCAGCTCCCGCACCGGACGGAGGGGAGGGGGGAAGAGGGGGCTTCGAGGGGGGGATGGATGTCAGGGGTTCAGGAGCAGAGGCAAGGGAAAGGGAGGAAACAGAGAGTGAGGGGGAGGAGGCAGAAGAAAAGATGAGTGATGACGACGACCCGAGATCTCCGAGTCTTTCCAGTGAATCAGAAGATTCACAGAAAGGAGCACCAGTGGCCAGGGCAAGGGGGGAGCCTAGGGGGACACCCCAGGAAGATAGAGCTAGAGGGGACTCAGAGGGGAGCAGTTGGAAATCGGGACCAGCGTCACCGCCAGAGAGCAGGGAAGAGGAAGGGCGCCAGGTATCAAGCGCTGGAAGCTCACAACAGGAGGGAGGGCACGAGTCAGGAGTGGCCACACCTCCATCGGGGAGCGAAGAAACGGTTAGACGGAAGGTGGAAGGTTGGGCGCGCGCGCCAAGTTCAAATGCACAGGAAGGTGGCGCAGTGAGCAGCCCGGAAAGGGAGCCAGGTCCTAAAGCCCGGCGCAAGGAGACAGAAGGGTCCGGGGGGTCAGCGTCAGAAGAATCCCGGAAGGAAGAGACCCCGGGGGGCAGAGGGACCCAGAGAAGAACAGTCAGGCGGAAAAGGTGGAGTAAAGCTAGGGTATTAAGTTGGTGTACAGGGGGCGGAGATTCAGACGGAGCTTCGCCGGTCTAGCCATAAGACGTAGAGTCGCACGCAGCAGCTTGAGAATGGAAACTGTAACTCAATAAAGACTTTTATTTAATGATCGCTGGCTAGCGTGATCCTCTGTGAGCTAGGATCTTGAAGCAGCTCTGACAATGAACATCACAAAAAACACAAAAAACAAAAAACAAAAATACATACAAAAAACCACATGTATAACTTCATTCCCTTATGTTCATGAAACTTACTTTCCCGACCTCCTCATACCTTTCCTTACTGTATTCCATTCTCTAATTAAGTCTTTTCAACAAATCCTTCCCTTAGTTTCTATTAGATTTTTAAACTTACTTTTCATATCCACATAAAAATTACAGCTGGCAAGCCCTTAATTTCAAAATCAACATCGTCTTAACATTCAGCAATTTTACAATATTTCTTAAGATAGTCTTTAAATTTCTTCCAATCTTCTTCCGCCGTCTCTTTCCCCTGGTCTCGGATTCTGCCGCTCATCTCTGCCAGTCCCATATAGTCTATAACTTTCATCTGCCATTCTTCCACGGTGGGTAGTTCTTCTGTCTTCCAATACTTTGCAATAAGTATTCTTGCTGCTGTTGTAGCATACATAAAAAAAGTTCTGTCCTTCTTTGACACCAATTGGCCAACGATACCCAGGAGAAAGGCCTCTGGTTTCTTCAGAAAAGTATATTTAAATACCTTTTTTATTTCATTATAAATCTTCTCCCAGAAAGCCTTAATCCTTGGGCACGTCCACCAAAGGTGAAAGACAATGTTTGGCAATTTTGAGTCTTGCTGCAGCAGAGCTAGCAACTCTTTGTGAGCAAGGGAAAGTTGCTTTCAACAGCCTGGCAGGAGAGCTAATTCTGTCTCGGCCCAGGGTTAGAGATTGTTTTGTTATTGCATAGAGGTCCTTGGGTAGATACCTATTCTTGGATGCCTCACGTTTTTATCTTTCCAGTGTTTTGCCACTATAACCCTTGCTGCTGACGTTGCATACATAAATAGCCTAGTTTTGTTTTTGGGAATGCCTCACGTTGCCATCTTCCTCTCTTCCTTCAAATCCATTTTCAAAACACACCTTTTTCTGGATGCTTTCAGAGCAAAGCCCAGGTCACAAAGCACAGCGTAAGGCAGCTATCCCTGTTCCTTTTAAAGTTAGCCCTTTATGCCAGACCATGAAAATGGAATCTTGTTTCGCACTTAGCTCAGTGGCAAAGCATCTGTTTTGGATACAGGAGGTTGCAGGTGCAATCCCCAAGCTCTCCAGGTGGGGCTGGGAAGGCACCTGGCCTGGAATCCTGGACAGCTGCTGCCAGTCAGTGCAGACAATACAGGGCAGAGCCTGACTTGGTGTGAGGCAGCTTTCTTTGCAGTGCTGGCACTGGGGAAAGTGGTTCCCTCCACATGTGGTTGAGCTGCAGCTCCCATCATTTTTGGCCATTGACTATGCTGGCTAGGGCTGATAGGAGTTGTGGTCCAAGAGGAGGCCTGCAGGTTCTCCATCCCTGGTTTAATGAGTGACCTGGGTTGTCACTCTAACCACTGCACTACATTGTCTTTTTTCAAAACACCTTCCACTTTCTAGAATAAAGCACAATACCTTAACAGAAATGCATTGAGTAAATGATTTGCTGAGCTGACCTGTTCAGGACTGCCTTGCTTGCGTGTTGCTTCCTGGGCCACCACTAACCCCCCCCCTCACCCTGTGCTCATGTTTCTCCAGGAGAAGCAAGTGGATGAGCTCTCTGCAGTGAGGCAGACGTTGCAGGCAGACCTGGAGACCTCCATCCGCCGCATTGCGGACTTGCAGGTGGCTCTGGAAGAAGTGCAGTCGAGTGACGACAGTGATAGGGAGAGGTGAGTGTGCTGGCAGGACTGGGTCTCTGCCTCTCAAGCCAGCCTGCTGCTTCCTCCGCGCCCTTCCTCTTCAGACTCCGGGCTCCTGGCAGGGCTGCCTGCGGGCGCTTTCGACTGGCACCATTCAAGAGGCCTGGTTGTCTGTGTGAAAAAAATCAAAACTTGTGAAATCAATATTTATTTATTTTTTGTAAAAAAAAGTGCCTGGGGTGGAGCCCCCAGTGCAGTGTGTGAAGAAAAGCCAGAAGGCACAGCCCCAGAGAGCCTTCCCAGGTCAAGGGGTGGGGTGGAGCAGAGCTGGCTGGAGTTGGGGCTTTGGAGCTGGGTGCTCTGGGTGGGTGCACTTTCACATCTCAGTGCCCCTGTGAAGTAGTGCAGCTAGGAAATGGTGGCTGTGGCACATACTGTCTGGCCAGCTGTGTGTGGAAAGGCCCAAAACTCAGCAGGGGGCTATCTGCTTGGCCTGCAGAAGGCTCCCGGTCCAATCCCCGATGAAGAGCCTTGCAGGGACTGGACTAGGTGACCCTGGGCGTTCCCTTCCAGCTGTACGATTATGTGATGCCTGAAAACCTGGAGAACCGTTGTCAGTCAATGCAGACAGCACTGATCTGTCTCAGCAGAAGGCAGATTCCTATGGTGTGTTGTGTGCAGATACACATCCATACAGCTTCCATCTTTTAGGACAGGGGTTTCCTTTTAGAGCTTCCCCGCTGCCTGATCTAACTTGAGCATGGAACAAACCACACTCCATGAAATTGTGAGTGAAATCAAACCTTTATTAGGCATTATACAAATAAAACCATAAAAGGGAACTCCATGAAATTATGCATTGCATGGAGAGAGTGGAAGAAGAGGTTTTTCCCCTGGAACTCATGGATGTTATTGTTGTTGTTGTCCTGCCTTTTTCCCTGACAGACTCAAGTCAGCTTACAGATAAAATAGGAACAGCTAAAACCAAAGGCAGTGTGTGTGGGGATCACTTAAAAACAATTAAACATTAATAGAATTTAAACTATACACACACACACACACACACACAGAGTTATCCAGTGTAGCTAAATATTGGTAGAGTCCCTCATGCTGTGCATAGCTAAACTATGGAACTCTCTGCCACAGGAGGCAGTGATGGCCATCAAGTTAAATGGCTTTAAGAGAGGATTGGACTAATTCATGGCGAAGGGGGCTGCCAATGGCCATGCTCTGCATCTACAGTTGAAGGCAGTGATACTGCTGCAAAGCAGTTTCTAGACACCACAGGAATCATAGAATCATAGAGTTGGAAGAGACCACAAGGGCCATCGAGTCCAACCCCCTGCCAAGCAGGAAACACCATCAGAGCACTCCTGACATATGGTTGTCAAGCCTCTGCTTAAAGACCTCCAAAGACGGAGACTCCACCACACTCCTTGGCAGCAAATTCCACTGTCAAACAGCTCTTACTGTCAGGAAGTTCTTCCTAATGTTTAGGTGGAATCTTCTTTCTTGTAGTTTGGATCCATTGCTCCAATGGATCCAGGAAAGGAGAGGGCTTCCTATAATGGGCATCTGGCTGGCCCCTGAGAGAACAGGATGCTGGACTAGATGGGCCATGGGCCTGATCCAGGAGGCTTTTCTTGTGGCTTTTTGAGTGTAGGGCCAGGCAAGTTCTCTCAGTGAGATTTCCCCTCCTAATTTGTCAAAGGCCAGAGCAGAGCAGAGCAGCTCCTTGAGTCTCTGCTGAAAACATTTCATCTTTGTGGCAGCATCACGTGATGGACTCACTTTGCAGAGGGATGACTCAGTGCGCGAGGTGGAGAGAAACCAGTCTGGAGCCAGTGCATTTCCACGCTTCCTCCTGGTGGATGGGAACTTGACCTTTAGTGTTTGACTCTGGGGTGAGGGTATTGAGCAGGAAAGGGAACTGGTCCCAGGAGCTGAAAACAACAAAAGAACCTTAAAAAAGCAAAACAAAAGCGGTGACAGCAACTTGGCCTCAATCTGATGCCTCCTGGGGTTCCACTGTGCATAATCAGGAGCCGTGAGGTTGAGACATGTGCTGCATCGAGTCCACCTGAAGCTGCTCCTGCCCCCTGAAGGTCATAGATGTGCAAAGTTAGATGAGACTATGAAACTCACTGCCACAAGACATGTTCCTGGCCTTTGGCTAAGGTAGTTTTTAAAAAGGGTTAGAGTAATCCATGGCAGGTAGAGCGGGAATGAAGATGGGTCAATTCTCATGTTAATGTGAACCTGCCTGATTCCTGGTCTCTGAAACTGTGTGTGAACCAAAATGAAGCCATCCTTCTGTGTGAACTGACCTGTACAAACAGGCCATAAGGCATTGCTGGAAATCTCAGGGAGAAAGAAGAGGCTTGTGATGATCTCATCGCAACCTGTAGTGGGCGGGTGAGATGATGCTGAAATCTAAACTGTCCCAGCCATGCTCATAGCAAGAACTTTCTACAAACATAAGAACTTGTTGAACCAAATAAGTGGAATTGGAATACAAGAAGGGGAGGTGTGGGGAAGTCTTGGAAATATGTCATTGAAAATAAGGCTTAAACTGTGAATGTTTTCTTTTTTTCTTTTCTTTTTCTTTTTTCTGGATTTTTTGAAAATTTTAATAAATATGTTATTTAAAAAAAAAAAAAGAACTTTCTACAAACCACCCAGACAAACAGAGGATTCAGTGCCCAGAGGCAAGCTAAACAAGAGGGCTAATTCCTTCACTGATACACCATCATACACTGATACACTGATACACAGGTTGAGCTGTGGAATACACCAATTTTGGGGGGATGCAGAAGGATTATTGAGGGAAGCCTGAAGGAGGGGGCAATGCCCCTCACCTTGTAGCTAAGACACTTTTTGTAGAATTTAAATTACATTGGTACCTCAGGTTACATATGCTTCAGGTTACATACGCTTCAGGTTACAGACTCCGCTAACCCAGAAATGGTACCTCGGGTTAAGAACTTTGCTTCAGGATGAGAACAGAAATCATGCAGTAGCGGTGCGGCAACAGTGGGAGGCCCCATTAGCTAAAGTGGTGCTTCAGGTTAAGAACAGTTTCAGGTTAAGTACGGACCTCCAGAACGAATTAAGTACTTAACCCAAGGTACCACTGTATCTGAATTTTGTGCAGTTTCCCCACAAGGTATTATGTATAAAATGCATATATTTATTAAAATATCACACAAACATGCACTATTGTGAGCTTTGTTTGAAGAAATGTGTGTATTGGGAGAAGTGCAAAGTAAAATGCCGACAAATTTTCATGAGGCCTTAAAAAAAGGCAGATGGAATGTGGAAACATAGCAAAGTGACCTTAATATTGGGAAAAAAGTGAAACGAAGACTGAACTTGACAGATTTGTCATGCACCCCAGGGAGGGCTGTCCAGTTGTTATTAGCAACTCCTGCAACTAAGCTGGTGCCAAATGTCTTGCTCTGCATTCCTTTGGACCACATCAGCAAGACTGAGAGGAGGTCTTGTCATTTGGGCAGCTCAGGACCTCCAGACACCCTACCTGGGCTTGTGCCCCAGGGAGGTCACCGGTGCTAACACAGCAGTCTGATTTCAACCCCAGAGGCTCAGTCCATTGTCTCTCAAGTCAGACAGATATAACAACAGTATATCAGCTCCTTTGCAAGGTAAGCAAACACGAGCCCAGAGCCAAGCCAAGCTGAGCCTTGCAAGTGGCCGGCTGAGGAGCTCTCCTCAGCCGGCGAGAATTTATGGATAGAGGCCACTGTGTAAGTGATTTGGCTTGCAGCTGCCATAATTAACAGACTTCTATTCAGAAGCGCATGCCTTGGCATGGTTTCTGAGCAGCCAGGCTTCAAAGGAAAAGCATTTTGTTTTGTGTGTCTCCCCCTCTCACTCCCAATTTGGTTGTGGTTTTTCCCTCTCTCTCCCTCTCTCATTGGCAGTTGGGTGCTTTCTTCTCTGTCAAATAAAATGCATAAAACGAATGACATGAAGTGAAGGCAAACATGACAGCAGGGGCCACTCACAATGTAAACTTTCTGTGAGCAGCCAAACTATTCCGACCCTGCCCAGGAGCAGCCAGCAAATTCCTCTCACGTAGGCCTGCCTTGCTCAAAGTTGGGCTCTGCTTCCCCTGCACGCTTGGAGGGATGCTGAGCCATCCTCCAGGAGCCCAACCCAGAACATCTTTGCTATCTCAGCTTTTCCAGGGGTTGGTGGAGTTACAGCACCAGAGGGGCTCCTCCCAATGTTGCTGGACTGCCGTTCCCATCGTCTGTGGCCGTCGGCCATGTTCACTGAAGCTGATGGGAGTTGTAGTTCAGCAACATCTGGAGGCCTCAAGGTTCCCTGCCTGTGGGTGTTAGCAGGTTGCAGGGAAAGGGCACCACAAAGGGATCACATGCTCGATTTCCCATGCTCTGTTGGCCTCTGTAAAATAACTTTCCACCATTCCCTGGTGCTAATGGAAAACAGTTCACTAACTGAAATGCATCTATCTTTTGGAATGCACATCATACTGAAAATAGTATACAAATCTTCATTATATAAGGGAGATTGCTTGCAAAATGTGTATGTTAGGAGAATTCTATACTAAAATGCTGGTGAATTTTGCACTTTGGACTGTGTAAATGTGGCAAACTGAAATTAATATTAGGAAAATGAGAAGCTGAGGGAAACTGAAATTGACACATTCACTCATCTGTAGCTGTGTCTTTCTTTCACCACAAATTAGGGATGCGTATATATGGTGTCGTGTTTAGAGTGTCGGACGAGGACCGTCTATTGCAGGGGTAGGCAACCTAAGGCCCAGGGGCCGGATGTGGCCCAATCACCATCTCAATCCGGCCCATGGATGGTCTTGGAATCAGCATGTTTTTACATGAGTAGAATTTGTCCTTTTATTTAAAATGCATCTCTGAGTTATTTCTGGGGCATAGGAATTCGTTCATATTTTTTTCCCAAAATATAGTCCGGCCCCCCACAAGGTCTGAGGGACAGTGGACCGGCCCATGGCTGAAAACGGTTGCTGACTCCTGGTCTATTGCAACCCTAATCCTGGGGTTGGTTAGCAAAGCAAAAAGTGTTACTGTTGTAAAGTTCTGTGGAAAGGTCTAGGAGAGCCAATGTTAGACTAGGACCTGGGAAACCCAGGTTCAAATCCCCTCTCGGCCATGAAGCTCACTGGGTGACCTTGGGCCCATCACGGCCTCTCTCAGCCTAACCTACCTCACGGGGTGGTTGTGAGAATGAAATGAGGGTATGCCACCTTGAGCTCCTTGGAGGAAAGGTGGTATGTTTGCGTGTGTGTGTGTGTGTGTGTGTGTATTTGCGTGTTTGTGTGCAAATAAAGGTACCACAGGGATCCTTTGCTTTATGATAAGATTTTCCTAAATAAAAACAATCACTTAGACTCCCCCACAGGTTTTTTAAAAAGTGAAGGTTCTTTGCTCCCACCCTTTCCTTAAAGGAAGATCCTTCTGAACATTTCCTCCAGCAAAAGGGCTGCCGGGGGCAAGAGCATGTCTCTGTTTCAGGGGAGTCTGCTGCAGAAGGGATGGACAGATATTAGTCCTCACTGGGAAGAGTGACTGATCCCTGTCTTTCTCTCCTCTCTCACTTGTAGTGTTCAGACGGCTCGAGAATCACTCAGCTCAAGAGGAGACACGTAAGTGAACTCCAATGGGAAATGCCTGATTCAAGCTTACGTGGGACTAGAGGATAAAACACATTGATTAACAACTGCAAAAAGTACACTCATTGAACAGCAGCCAAAATATGGGGGGGGGGGGTGAGAGAGATGGGCCATGTCCTTCCATTTGCTTCCAATCAATTTTTCAGATTTATCCCCTTTTACGTTTGCTGAGCCCACATTGATCTTCCCAAATGCTATGCCTCTTAACATACAGCAGATATTAACAGCTTCTTCAATCTCTGCCCTCCTGCCTCTGCAAATAAATGGGAGTTTCTATTGTCTCAATAGGTTCAGTAGTGGGATAGTCTTCAGGTTTTTAGAACCAGCTTGATTTTTCAATGGGTCATAAAGAAGGAGGAGATACCTCAAAAGTTCATGAGAAGTTGAGCTGATGGACTATGCGGAAATGGCAAAGCTGATTGGTAAACTCAGAAACCAAGAGGACAAAAACTTTTAAAAGAATTGGAAAAAATTATAACATATCTAGGAGACCACTGCAAGCAAATGGAAACAACTAGCAGGATTTTAATCTACTTGTAATGTAACAGATACTATCGATAATTTGGATTGAAATAAAATATAGAGTATGGAAAAATATGCAGTTGTAAATGTTGATAATGTTAACGGAAACTGTTAACAGAGAAATCTGAGAGCTCCCTTGGACAAAAAAAAGGACACCAGCCAGGAATACCAGAGCAAAACAGCAGCCAGGAGGCTTGGTCTTTATTGAGGACTCCCACCTGCCACCAGGTGGAACAAGATGGAAGCCCTGAACAAAAGAGCCCCCAAACTTTTATTAGCTGCTAATCCCCATGTTACCCCCCCCAAACTACATCACTCATACATCATGGTTATATCATGAAAGGGGAGGTCTGGTGGCAGTAATTTGAGCATCCTGGACCCTACCCCATGGTTCTCCTTGCCCTCCACCAAACACCCATCAATGTAACAAAAGAGATATTTACATTTCCCTGTTTCCCAGCCAAGTTAATCACACCCTTTTGTCTTCATCTGGGTTTGTTATTTCTGGAATGGCTACCTGTCTGGCACTCAGGTATCAGGATGCCAGGAATTATCACTCAGGCAGAGGGGCTGCTGAGTAGCTGAGTTCACATGTCTATAGGAATTTCTGAAGTTTTCCCAGTGAGCCAGTACTTAGATACATTTATCAGCGAATTGTTACATTTGGTATCGTGCAGCAGAGGCCCTTTGAAACTGTGATGGGGTGTTTTGTGGGGACAATTCACAAAAGTCACAAAAGCAATTGTGCTGGTTTTGGTAGTGGGCTGCATGTGCATGATATCTGCTGGAGGGGTAACCCCCCCAACCTATACATAAATTCCTGCAACAATAATAGGACCCATGGAGGGGGTGGGGGGAAGTTGTGAGATTCAGGGTAATCTCTATATATGGATATGCATTTGGATTGTTATAATTGTCCATGTAGAAGAGAAAACAAAGTTGGGATATATGTGGTGCAATTGAGCATTCAGCGTAGGCAGATGCCTTAGACAGAGTCAGGCTATTGGCCTGTGTATCTCAGTGTTGCCTACATGGACTGGCAGCAGCTCTCGAGGGTTTCAGGCAGGAGATGCCTTTCGGAATGGAAGCAGAGACTTTCTGCATGCAGGACAGGGACTCTCCATTGAGCTATTTCCCCCCCCCCCCCATTCCCAACAATGCAGATTTTACATCCACAAAGTGATTGGTGCAAGAACCACTTTTCTGCCCTATCTGACAGTAAGAGCTGTTTGACAGTGGAATTTGCTGCCAAGGAGTGTGGTGGAGTCTCCTTCTTTGGAGGTCTTTAAGCAGAGGCTTGACAACCATATGTCAGGAGTGCTCTGATGGTGTTTCCTGCTTGGCAGGGGGTTGGACTCTTGTGGTCTATTCCAACTCTATGATTCTATGATCTGTAAAAAGCCCTGTCTGTAAAAAGGCCCCCATAATTTGGCTTGGTTCAGACATAACATCTCCACTTTGCACTTGAAGGGAAGAGATTTCAAGCTTCACTTTCTGGTTTATAACAAACTATACTTTGTTGTTATAGCCAGGGTGGAAGGGATGTGTCTCCAGCCCACAGCCTGCCGAAGTTCATCTACAGTTGCAATTAAAATTATTCCACCCCCATTGCAAATCAGGTTTATTATCAAAATTTACAGAATTTCAGCAGCTGGCAGTGAGCAAATCAAACAAAAGCAATTGAAATAGCTCAACACAACAGATGCTTCAAATGGTTTCCCCAAATTCAGCTGAAAATGCAACTTTAACTGGTTTCTCCACTCTCACTATTCATCAACCCCCTGAATAGAATCCCTCACAAATACAACAGGTGTTGTCTCAGGCACACCTGATGCAACTAATCAAGGGCTTGAGACAACATAAACAATAATTGCATTACCTATCAATAATCATATATGGAAAAATCATATGAATATGTTATAATGCAAGACCACAAATGTTCAAAGCAAATGCACTTGCAAAGCACAGGAGCTGATTGTGCATAATTGTTGTGACCGTGGAAATAAATATTTGCAGTTTTCTTAAACAGCTTCTTGATTCTTAGATTCTTTCAAATTTGTTATGAACTTCCATTGTGCCATCTCACCCTTCCTCCAGGCAATTCAGGGTGGCGTGCATGCACTGCCCCACAACCCATGGTGGCTACAGCTGATGGGAGTTGTAGTCAAAAAACACCCAGAGGGCATCGGGTGGGCAAAGGCCTCTCTCCTTGCCCATTTAGCCTCACAACAACCCTTCTGTGTTCTTCCGCTTACAGCGAGAGTCAGCTGAGTCTGGGGTCAACCATGAGCTTGAACTTGGAACCTGAAGAAAGCGTCAAATCGTGGTCCAGTTTGGCATCGGCATGGTCCTCTCCATCCAGGCAAACCGTGGACAGCCGTGGTACCCAGAGCCTGAGGTGAGACTCATTCTTAAGTGTACGAAAAGGGGTGTCTTCTGAGCAATGCAACAGGTTTGTAGAAACTAGGGCTGTGCATGTCCACCTCCATTCCCTGGATCCAATTCAGATCAGCCCCAACTTGAGACAATCCAGACCTGACCTGACTCCTCCGACTGGAGTGTGATCTAGAAAATGGAGGCCATGTGAGCTTGCTGCATTTTGAGACGTTACCTTCCCTTCCCCCAAACACACTAATTAGGGAGATTCTAGCCCTGAATTGTAATCTAGATCTGTTAGTGAGCAAACCCCAGCTCCCCTCCTCCCCCGGGTGTTCACCTTATATAGTACTGTAATTAAAAGTTGCAACACTTTATGTGTGATCTTTTTAACTTGAGAGAGATTTTTTTATTTTTATTTTTTAGTTGCTGAGGAGCCAGTCCCCTGGTGTGCTGAGCAGGGCAATGGGGGCTGTGTAAATTCTGGCAATGCTATCCAGCCCCTCCCTCTGATACAAAGGGTGGACCTTCTCTCTGTGGGTTGGACCTGGCAACCATCCCTTCCACCCTGGCTAGCATAGAGGGGAGGGGTAGAGCCTCCAAAATCAGGGCCAATGTGCTGCTGGATCCCAGATCCTGGGAGCTGCTGCTGTGCTCTGGCCCTGCCTCTGTCTGACCCATTGTGTGAACTCAATTGTATTTCATCTGATCCATCTACTGCAGTTATTAAGTTTGCAGATAATACTACCATAATGGGTCTAATTACAGGTGGAGATGAATCAGTGTATGGGGGGAGGTTCAAAAAGTATCTACATGGTGCCTAAAGAATAACTTGCACCTAAATATTAGCAAAACAAAGGAGATGGTGTTGGACTTTCGGAGGAAGAGAGGGGAACTAGCCCCGTTGTATATCCGGGGGAGGGGGGGAGGTGTGTGGAGAGAGTCCATTTAAATTCCTGGGAGTTTACCTTAGTGAAGACATCACTTGGAAAAACAATATAACTTAGGTTGTTAGGAAGGCCCAACAGAGACTCCAATTCCTCAGGGTCTTGCGAAAGAACAATGTTAAACAACAACTGATGACCTCCTTCTACTGGTCCACAATAGAAAGTGTCATCTCATATTGTATCACAGTGTGGTACGTTGGCTTGACAGCCACGGACAGAAAGTCTTTACAGAAGGTGATGAACACAGCACATGGGCTGTCCCCTGAGCCCGCTAGATGATATCGCAAGGGATAGATGCCTTAGGAGAGCGAGAAAAATTCCCAGGGATGATTCACACCCTGGCCAGCACCTTTTTAATCTTCTACCCTCTGGCAGGATATATAGAAATATAATCAGTCGTACCAACAGGCTAAAAAACAGTTTTTATCCGTGGGCTGTTAGGCTGCTGAACGGAAAATAATATAGTGCAATTGACTTTTGGGGTTGGTGCGTTGTGCAACAAGCACACAGAGTGCAATGAGATTGAGTGTTTGCTGGGGGGTAGGTTTGGTTCATTTCATTTTACACAGGTTGTATATTGACAATAAAGGTATTATTATTATTATTATTATTATTATTATTATTAGCCTTTGGCCTGATCCAGCCAAGGGATCCTTCCATTCTTAGCACATACTACCTCAGGCTGACTTGGAAGGCTGCTCAGCAGCCAGTAACTGCAGCTTTGAACGAAGTCTGTCTTGAGCTGACTTCATTTGCTTATTTTCCCCATGGATCATCTTCCTAATCCTTGCCATTCTGGAAGAGAAGCAAACCATATATAAAATCTCTCTCTCTCTCTCTCCTCTGCAAATGTCAAATATTTAGAGGTCTCTTCAACTTTAATTTTTCAAAGACCAGTTCCAAGCAATGGCATTTACTCACAACGTGCGTCGCTTGCTGATATTCAGCTCTAATAAAGGTCTGCAGGTCCTTTCAGGGAACAAACATCTTGAATGTACGCAGGCGATTCTCCTCTGGGGATTTCTTCTCTCTGTTTCAAAGGCTCCAAAGCAGGAGAGTCACTTAGCAAGACCCCCAGTCCCCCAAAGCAGCAGTCCCTCAAATGCCATTTTTTAAACAGCACTGCTAATATGAGGTGGGGCGGAGATTGAGATTTTAACAGAGGAGTTGTTGCAGTAGGGACGCGGGTGGCGCTGTGGGTAAAAGCCTCAGCGCCTAGGGCTTGCTGATCGAAAGGTCGGTGGTTCGAATCCCCGCGGCGGGGTGCGCTCCCGTTGTTCGGTCCCAGCGCCTGCCAACCTAGCAGTTCGAAAGCACCCTCGGGTGCAAGTAGATAAATAGGGACCGCTTGCTGGCGGGAAGGTAAACGGCGTTTCCGAGTGCTGCGCTGGCTCGCCAGATGCAGCTTTGTCACTCTGGCCATGTGACCCGGAAAGTGTCTCCGGACAGCGCTGGCCCCCGGCCTCTTAAGTGAGATGGGCGCACAACCCTAGAGTCTGTCAAGACTGGCCTGTACGGGCAGGGGTACCTTTACCTTTACCTTTTGTTGCAGTAAGGCTGCGCTTAACCACTGGCTGTTCTTGTGCTCCAGCTCATCCCCCTTCCAGATTATCTCTCCCTGCCCTCAGATTCCTAGGTGGGTATTTTCAGGACTAAACATGCCTTTGGAACGTAAGTGGTGGCAGCAGCAGGAAATGAGCTTGAATGGAGGAAAGAGTTGGAGTTTAAAAACAATCAGCACCAGGTGAAAAGATGAATCCCACCTCTGCTCAACATGCACCTCTCTGTGAAAAACGGTCTTCATTTTGACCATTGGGAAAATGTTGCCACAAAGATCTAGCCACGCATCTAAGCAGTGGAGTTGCATGAGCTTATGGTGCCCAGGGCAGGTGCATGCACTCCGGAGGGTTCGCATGCATGTGCCGGGTGTGTGTGCATGAAGGGTGAAGGAGGCCACCATGGCACTCCAGCCCTCAACACTGACATCGCTGGAACGATCCCACACAGCACTGGAGCCAAGCAGGGCCACGCTGTGCCACCTGCCTGCCTGCATAGGGGGGAGCCTGGCCAGCCAATGTGGCACTTGGCGGGCATGAACCAGCTGCCCCCACGCCAGTGCCCCCAGCACAGCCCGGCCCAATGCTCCTCTCCGTGTGCATTAGTTTCTCTGATGCCAGGAGAGGAGCGCTAGGCTCTGCTGGGGGTGCCTGCATGGGGGGGTGCCTGCTTTGTTGTTGTTTAGTGGTTTAGTCGTGTCCAACTCTTCGTGACCCCATGGACCAGAGCACGCCAGGCACTCCTCTGTCTTCCACTGCCTCCCACAGTTTGGTCAGACTCATGTTCGTAGCTTCGAGAACACTGTCCAGCCATCTCGTCCTCTGTCGTCCCCTTCTCCTTCTGCCCTCCATCTTTCCCAACATCAGGGTCTTTTCCAGGGAGTCTTCTCTTCTCATGAGGTGGCCAAAGTATTGGAGCCTCAGCTTCACGATCTGTCCTTCCAGTGAGTATTCAGGCCTGATTTCCTTCAGAATGGATACGTTTGATCTTCTTGCAGTCCATGGGACTCTCAAGAGTCTCCTCCAGCACCAGAATTCAAAAGCATCAATTCTTCAGCGATCAGCCTTCTTTATGGTCTAGCTCTCACTTCCATACATCACTACTGGGGAAACCATGGCTTTTACAATACAGACCTTTGTTGGCAAGGTGATGTCTCTGCTTTTTAAGATGCTGTCTAGGTTTGCCATCGCCTTTCTCCCAAGGAGCAGTCGTCTTTTAATTTCGCGACTGCTGTCACCATCTGCAGTGATCATGGAGCCCAAGAAAGTTAAATTTCTCACTGCCTCCATTTCTTCCCCTTCTATTTGCCAGGAGGTGATGGGCCCAGTGGCCATGATCTTCGTTTTTTTGATGTTGAGCTTCAGACCATGTTTTGCGCTCCCCTCTTTCACCCTCATTAAAAGGTTCTTTAATTCCTCCTCACTTTCTGCCATCAAGGTTGTGTCATCTGCATATCTGAGGTTGTTGATATTTCTTCCGGCGATCTTAATTCCGGCTTGGGATTCATTCAGCCCAGCCTTTCGCATGATGAATTCTGCATATAAGTTAAATAAGCAGGGAGACAATATACAGCCTTGCCGTACTCCTTTCCCAATTTTGAACCAATCTGTTGTTCCATATCCAGTTCTAACTGTAGCTTCTTGTCCCACATAGAGATTTCTCAGGAGACAGATGAGGTGATCAGGCACTCCCATTTCTTTAAGAACTTGCCATAGTTTGCTGTGGCCTACACAGTCAAAGGCTTTTGCATAGTCAATGAAGCAGAAGTAGATGTCTTTCTGGAACTCTCTAGCTTTCTCCACAATCCAGCGCATGTTTGCAATTTGGTCTCTGGTTCCTCTGCCCCTTCGAAATCCAGTTTGCACTTCTGGGAGTTCTCAGTCCACATACTGCTTAAGCCTTCCTTGTAGAATTTTAAGCATAACCCTGCTAGCGTGTGAAATGAGTGCAATTGTGCGGTAGTTGGAGCAGTCTTTGGCACTGCCCTTCTTTGGAATTGGGATGTAAACTGATCTTCTCCAATCCTCTGGCCACTGCTGAGTTTTCCAAACTTGCTGGCATATTGAGTGTAGCACCTTAACAGCATCATCATTTAAAATTTTAAATAGTTCAGCTGGAATACCATCACTTCCACTGGCCTTGTTATTAGCAGTGCTTTCTAAAGCCCATTTGACTTCACTCTCCAGGATGTCTGGCTCAAGGTCAGCAACCACACTATCTGGGGTGTACGAGACATCCATTTCTTTTTGGTATAGTTCATCTGTGTATTCTTGCCACCTCTTCTTGATGTCTTCTGCTTCTGTTAGGTCCTTACCACTTTTGTCTTTTATTATGGTAATCTTTGTACAAAATGTTCCTTTCATATCTCCAATTTTCTTGAACAGATCTCTGGTTTTTCCCATTCTATTGTTTTCCTCTATTTCTTTACATTGCTCATATAAGAAGGCCTTCTTGTCTCTCCTTGCTATTTTTTCGAAATCTGCATTCAGTTTCCTGTATCTTTCACTATCTCCCTCGC